GCCCTGCCGTGCCTTCTGGGCGGGGGTGGGGGGGGCGTGGTGAGGAGGTCCAGCGAGGGCCTCGGGTGGAGAAGGAACCGCAGGGTCTGGCCACGCCCCGGGCGGAAGGCTTGGCCTAGCAGCCCTGGCTGGCGCGGGTTAGTCCCACGCAATGGCTAAGCCCGGGAAGCAGGTGCACTAGGGACTCTGACGTTAAGACTTGGTGCAGCAGGTGAGTGCACGAGTCTAGGTGCAAGGCCTGGACTGGAGGCCTCGAGGAGCGAGGAGCCGGTCTTAGTGTGGAGGGTGTGGAAAGCCCGCGCCTCCCTGTAGGGGCACTTCCAACTGAAGCTAAGTTAACTGAGGCCGTAGGAAGGTAGGTTAGGCTTTGGGGTGTCTCCAAACTGAGTCCGACTCCATCTCTTCCCCCACCTACTGTCCCTACGGCACCTCTGCCTGGCAGCAATCCAAGTCCTGGGCACTGTCAAGTGGTTCAACGTCCGAAATGGTTACGGATTCATCAACAGGTATCCGAGGAGCCTAGGGAGGGGGAGGGAGGGGCGTCTTCCCGGCTGGCCCGGGGGAGTGGACACCTCCCCGACCTCATCTCCGCCCCTGCCTGCCGAAGCACATGGTTGCAATGTCCAGCTGACGTTGATTGAAAGCCTTTAATCCTAACACAAATGTGGGCGAGATGAAGCTCCTCGTCTTCAAGGGCAGCGGAGGGTTAATGATCTAGGAAGTTGGCAAACCTGCTCCGACCCTCCCAGCTTGTCTGTCTCACCTCCTGGCTTAGTTTGCCTCACCTTTGGGGCAGAATGTACCTGCTGTCTGTGCCCCGGGGCGCTGGGCCGCACTCACTTTCCTGTTTCGGGCAGCACACATAGCACTCTCATAACTCATCTTCCTTACTGGGTTGTTGGTTCATTTGAAACCCCCACCTGATGGGACTGAGGCTGGTGGGGGTTGGGGAAGGAGCCAGCCCAGCCACAGGCTGCTGCTTTTCTTCTCTTTGGCGGCCTCACTCCCCCTCACCACCCCCAACCCCACCCCCATGCACTGGGAGAGGCCCTAGTGGCAGATTCTGAGCAAAGCCAGGTCTCCCCCTGTCGGCCCTTCCCCAGCCTGGGCACCCTGCCCAGCCCAGCCCTCTGGGGAGGCCCTAGTTCCCTCTTAGCAGGCTGACCTTTGTGCAGATCCAAGTGCTTTACAGCTAGAATATTTGTTCTAGGGGAGGGCCCTTCTCTAATTCTGAAAACTGAGGACTCCTGGGAGATTTGAAGGAACATCTCTCCCCTCCCCGCATTGGGGTGCTAGGATAAACTGGGGTAATAGGCAAGCCGTAATAGAGAATGGCCGAATATTATCTACTCTCTCACCCTTGGTCCCTTGGTGTGTTGAAAAGGGGCCTGACCTTGGGGTTCACCTCCTGGTTGAGGCTGAGAATGAAGTTTGGGGCTGTTGAGAGCAAGTTCTTGACACATTGTCCCCACCTCAGACTTGTTCTGCACCTCTCCTCCTGCCTGTTCTCTGACTGTAGAAGGAGGGAGACAGGAGTGGAATTTTCCAACCACGATGGAGGGTGGGGATGAGGGGGTGTTGACAGGGGCAGTTATACCCAGCCCTACCAGGTTCTAAGCGGTAGAGGGTGGAGTGCTCAGCTCCTGCAAAGTGAATTTCCTTTCCTCCTCCACCCTTTCTTCATGAAGCCCAGGTTTTCCACCGAGAGATAGGTATACTTCTCCTTATACCTGCTTCTGGGGCCCTGCCTACCACCAGTCAGCCACGGAAGGCTAGGGGGTGGGCAGCTAGGGCGCCCCCGGGGGAGGTGAGCACCTCCCCAAAGCCACCCCCTAACAGCCATCCTGTCCTGCAGGAATGACACCAAGGAAGATGTCTTTGTTCACCAGGTAAGAGCTAGGCTGGCTTTCTGAGGGAAGGAACCGGCCCTCTCTTGAAAGGCTGTTGTCATAATCCTGAGCAGCACAGATCATGCTTCTGCAGCTTTCACCTCACAACAGCATGCCTACCAGGAAATGGTTTCCCTCCCCATCTGCATCAGGTGCCCACATTAACTGCCATTGGTCCCACTTGTGTTGGGCTGTCCGTCAGAGCCTGGCATGCACAGTACCTACTGTGACCTGTTAGCACCACAGGAATGAATCACAGGCGATGTCCGGAGGGAAAGGACACAGGCTAGTGGTTCTCAAAGTGCGGTCCCTGCACCAGCAGCATCACCTGACATCCAAATTCCCAGGCCCCACCCCAGACCTACTGAATCAGACCTGGGGGAGAGGCGGCAATCTTTTAACGAGCGCGCCAGGTGATTCTGATGCCCGCCACAGTTTGAGAACCACTGCTTTGGTGGAAAGAGCTCTCAGTGGGATCGAGGTAAGAAGCACAGTACATTTTCCCCACTTTGCAACTTAAGACTGTCTCTGCTTTTTGTTTGGATTCTTTTTGTTTTGAGTTCATGTTTCTTGCCTCCCTTTTTTAAGTCCCTGAGGGGTAAAGGAGGAGGGAGTGTGTCCTAGGGATGGTGGTAACTGCACAATTGTTCTGGAGGCTCCTAGTGTATGGCTCTTCCCCTACTAAACTCTGACTGCCTTCTCCTTGCTCCACCCTCCAGCCCCAGCCCACAAGTAAAATGCTGAAAGGAGCACAAGCGGGTGGTGGGCCCAGCAGGGGTGAGAGGGACTAGCCCTCACCTTTCTCACGGCCTTTCCCCTAACCAGACAGCGATTAAAAGAAACAACCCCAGGAAGTTCCTGCGCAGCGTTGGAGACGGGGAGACTGTGGAGTTTGATGTCGTGGAAGGAGAGAAGGTTTGGGGGCCGTGGCGGGAGACCGAGTGGGAGGCGGCCTGGATGTCATCCCAGGCGCTGCCCCCCTTCCTCTGGCGCGTTAGCCCAGACTGTGTCCTCACGCAGACTGTCATCTTTAACACTTTGGCTGCTTTGAGAGACATCCTAAAGAACATGTCCCTCTTATCACTCAGTATTTCAGATCTGGGTTTCTTTGTACTTCAAGCATTTCTATGTTCACACGGGGCCCTTTGCAGGCTCTCAGAGGCAGTCAGCTCTCTAGTAAGACGGACAGTCGCCAGGCCTTTCCACCCACACCCCTCGCCCTCCCGGCTTAAAATCAAGAGGGTTCAGTAGCAGCTATTCCAAAAGGACAAGTTGCAGAGGTGGCCCCTCCTAGAAGGGTCCAAACATGCCACTGCCCCCCTGAGGGAGGGTGGGCAGAAGTTAGAGGGGCTGAAGAAAGCTGGAGAGGGGATTTAGCTGGAAGCAGGGGGAGACAAATGATTCAAGCCATTTTGGGAATGTTGTGCATTTGTTGTTGGAGCAAGTTCTCCTCACCTCTTTTCCAGGGTGCAGAAGCTGCTAACGTCACTGGGCCTGGGGGGGTGCCAGTGAAGGGTAGCCGCTATGCCCCCAATCGACGTAGGTTCCGCCGATTTATCCCCCGGCCTCGCCCGGCTGCCCCACCACCCATGGTGGCAGAGGCTCCATCGGGTGGGACAGAACCGTGCATCGAAGGGGAACGAGCTGAGGACTCTGGGCAGAGGCCCAGGCGCCGGCGCCCACCGCCCTTCTTCTACCGACGGCGCTTTGTGCGAGGCCCAAGGCCCCCCAACCAGCAGCAGCCTATAGAGGTGAGGGGAACTCGGGATGTGGAACCAGCTTCCCAAGTCCTAGGAAAGGAGCGGAAGTTGGTGAAGAGAGAGCCAGAGTCCCCAGAGGATGGAACCAGGGCTGGGAAGAGCTGTGGACACCTGGCTCGCAGGCAGCTGCTTTACCCCGCTCACCAGGGCGCCTCTGTGTTCCCAGGGCACTGATGGGGTAGACCCTAAAGAGACAGCCCCATTGGAGGGGGACCAACAGCAGGGAGATGAGCGGGTTCCCCCACCCAGATTCCGGCCCAGATACCGAAGGTAAGACTCACTTTCCAAGGTCCTATCTTATCCTTCACTGTCCGGTATCGGATGGGGGTGGTGGGTGTAGGCGTATAGGAAGGGTCGGGAGGATGGGAAGGGGAAGAGCAAAGTTCTCAGACAAGCCTGAAGCTGGTGGTTTGGGGTGGGGGTTAGGGCGGGGGTGGGGTTGCCGGGACTGGGTAGCGAGAGATTAATGCATAGGTGTCATGGGGAAGCAACTCCTAGGGCTAAAAAAGCTGGCTCCTGGGGTGGAGATGGGGATGGGAAGCTGGCTGGCCCACCTCTCCTGGGGGAGTCCGGAGAGGGAAGGAGGCAGTCTGCACTGGGCCCCTCCATGCCCTTTAGGGCCCCCACTTTTCTCTCCAGGCCTTTCCGCCCCCGGCCACCCCAGCAGCCTACCACAGAAGGTGGGGATGGCAAGACCAAGCCCAGCCAAGGTCCCACTGATGGTTCCCGGCCTGAGCCCCAGCGCCCACGAAACCGCCCCTACTTCCAGCGGCGACGGCAGCAGCCCCCTGGACCCAGGCAGCCCACAGCCCAGGAGGTGAGGACCTTGGGCTGCCTTTCTTTCCCTTCCCCTTCCCATGTCACTCTCTCCTCCTGTTCCCCCATCTCCTGGCCCTGCCCCCACCCCACCCCACCCCACCCCTTCCATTCAGCCTGACACCAGAGCCAGCACTGCTCTGGTGTCACCCCACCCACAGGGAAACCCTAGCAGAGGCAGTCCAGCCCGTGTCAGCCCCTGCAGATTCCCCTTTCAGCTCTGCTTGGTGCCGCAGCACCAGCTATGGATGTGAATTCGAGGAGGAATGGGAAGGGGTTATAGGAATGGGAAGAGAAAAGATGGGAGAAGATCGAAGTTGGGGGGCCCTAACGAACAAGGTCTCAACTGACCACCCCTCTCTCTAGACCTCAGCCCCCATCAACAGTGGGGACCCCACCACCACCATCCTGGAGTGATTCCAACTCAAGGACACCCAGAACTACCATCTGGTGAGTGGCTGCGCTCGGAGAGGGCCCAGGGTGGGGAGCCAAGAGGGCGGGGACTGGGTCCTGAGAAGTTACTAGTCATGACTTGCCCGTTTCTTTTTCTCTCTCAGGTATCTGCCAGGTTTTCCAACTGACCTGCACCCTACCCAGCACCCCTCCCCCTTTCCCATAGTCATGACATCAAAACACTGGCTTTCCCCCTTTTCCATGAGACTCAGGAGGGCCAAAGCAACAGCTTTTTGCTTTTTTTTCTCTCTCCCCTACCAAGGGCTGAAGGAAGGGATCCATCCTTTTTGTTCAGAGGCATCAACTCCCTCCCCTAAATCAGGCTGAGAAGGAACCAGCCAGCTCTTACCTCCTCCTGGTTGTTTTTCTTTCCCACCCCAGTTTATTTTTTGTTTCCCCTCGACCCCCTACCTCTAAAGCCATTTTATGAACTGTCATGTGCCACCTGAGCCTCCAGTAAAAACAAAAACAGGCTTTCTTGTTGTCTTGGTCTCTGCCTCTCTTCTGTTTGGAGAATTGCTGGTAACTTGCGGGTGAAGGTGGCGAAGAGGTTGTGGGGCAGTGGGCAGGGCCTGGTCATGAATCATTGGAGCTCTGAACAAGCACTTTCATACCTGTGAGAGTCACTTTTCCCATCTGTAAAATGGGGATAATATTTCCCTTGCAGAATAAGTGTTTTGTAAAGTGCTGAGAGCGCAGTCTGACGCTTCCAGCTACAACTTATTAATTTACTATTAATTAAAGCAATGACTAGAAATATAAGTGGGGGCATGAGTGACAGCATCCAGCGGATTCTTCAGCTGGGAGCTAAGGAATGGGGCGGGATAGAGAGGAAGAGGGGAAGGGGAAGTTGTGGTCCAGCCCTGTCTGAGCCCATCCTCGAGTGCCTGCACAACAGGACGCTTGTCTCATACAGTGACTTTATACACGTATCTATATATTTACATTTAATACAACAGACTTTTGGTTTCTTCTCCCTGTCCCTTTTTCAAGCATATACACAAATATCCGAGGATTCCTCCCAGCCTAATGTTACAGGCAGCCTTTCAAATGTCTCTTTCGCTTAGTTGGTCAAAAGCCTTTGGGTTCAACACCTTCCAGAATGGGAGAGGAAGAAAGAGCTGGGCCTCTGGGGGCAGAGCCCTGCGTTTAGAGGCGAGAGCTTGCTATCTCTTCCTCTCACATATGGGCAGGTGTTCCCTCTCACCCTGGAAGGTGGAGCAAGAGGACTGAGCCTTCAGTGAGAGCAGTGAGGTTAGACCTTGGGAGGGTGCATCCTTCGCCTTGGAGGGGTCAAGACGGAGCCCTCTTCACCCAGAGTCTATGTGACAAGAATTCAGAGAGAGTGCCAGAGAGTGGGAGGAGTCCAAGGTGGTAGGAAACTGGATTTCCCTTGTCCACTCCTGCTCTGTACTTCGGTTCACTTCCCCTAAAGTCAGTCCTAGAGCCTCTCCTCCAATCCCTCCTCTCTAGCAGAGGTGCAAAAGTATTCTGGAGCTGAGGCGGGTTGGGGTGAACTATGGAGGAAGGAGGAGAGGGACAAGGGGGGAGAATGGCCTACCCTGGTGGCCACAGCCTAACCACAACACATAAATAATCCAAGAAAGTCACACGAGGGAAATGAGGGGGTCTCGGACCACCCCTCCCTCCAGCTTCCCAATTCCACCAGGCAGCAGGGGCTTCCCCCACCCTGGGAGTGCTGGGGACGAGAGGGTTAAAGTGCCACCGAGGAAAGGAGGGGGTCTCTGGGGACACAGAGAGGACTGGCTCTCCCACCCCTGCCTGGTCCCTCAATCATTCTCATCTGGCCCTAAGTACTCAAGTTCCGTGCTGGGCTTCACCTCCTGCTCTAAAAGAGAGGGTGTCCGATGGAAGGCAGCTGAGATCTGGTCAAACGTCCGGCCTCGGGTTTCAGGCACTTTTAAGAAGGTGAAGATGAAGAAGCCGAGCAGGAGGGCCGCAAATAGAAGGAAGACGTAAGGACCCATAGCATCCTGGGACAGGCAGAGAAAGAGGTGTTGACAGGAGGGGAGGGGAGGGGAGGGGAGGGGCAGTCTCAGGCAAGCTAGGAACTAAAGTCTCTCCTAGGGAGCAGGGATACTGCAGGTAGCAGGTGGCTCCTTTGCAGGGTAATGGAAATAGCCAGGAATGAGAATTTAGTGAAAAAAGGATCCTCTGAACCCCAACTCTCCTATAGTTTTTCACCCTCTTACCATCCTGAGTTACTGTACTGAGAGTGGATTCCCAGACATTCACAGTATGAATAATGAAGTTTATAATTTTATTCCTAGTCTAAATAAGTTATGCCACTAGTTGGTTTTGAAGACACCTCTATTGCTATGCAATCTAGTTCAGCTCCCTTCTTTCCTTTGATGCAGATGGGGCAGGTGTCTTCAGGGTCCACCAAAGTGATCTTCAAGACCAGTAGTCTGCGAGCGGAGGGAGTGCCTGACTGGGAAGTGAATGGGCTGAGAGTCCCTGCCCCCCCCTCCCCCCCTTGGCCTACGGTGGGAGATTGGATGGGAGTGGGCCACCTACCGCAACATACTGGAAGCCCATGCCAATGAGGAAGTTGCACGTCCAGTTGGAGAAACCAGCCAAAGCCATGGCTGCTGGGCGAGGGCCCTGGCTGAAGAGCTCGGCCACAATGAACCAGGGGATGGGGCCAGGGCCAATCTCAAAGAATGCCACAAAGCCGAAGATGGCCACGATGGAGACATAGCTCATGGCTGGAACGCGCTCCTGGGGACCAGGCAGGGAGGGTGGGAATTCAGGTCAGGTCTTTCTGGATCTTCCTTTGCCCTCAACCCAGAGAACTAAAATCAACCCCTCCCAGCAGCTCGTGGGGGACAGGGGTCTGCCACCCTAGGTTAAAGCAGACCCCCGAGCACCTCCAAACACTGACATTCAGCTGGTTTCCCTCGGCCAATTCAAGGCCAAGGGAATGGTATGGACTCTCAGCTATTAAGCTGATCAATTCCCCTTGGTTCTAAAGCTGGGTCCTTAGGAATTACTGTTCCCACGGCCGGACAGGGCTCTCCCTCCTGGCTGCCAGAACTGTGCTACAGCTCCCTCCCAGAGTGGGAGGAAGTGCAACCTGGGCCTCTAGGGAGCACAGACCATGATCCCAGCACACAGGCCGGATCCAGGATCAAAAGCACATGTGTTGAGGAGTGGCCCTGGCTGGACACAGCCTCTTGGAGCAGTCCCCGTGGGTTTGGGCCTCTGGTCCCCTTCCTACTCCCCAGGCCTCACCAGCAGAAGCAGAGCCACAGTCATCAAGATGGCACAGCCACACATTCCTGCCAGGCCTAGAAGATGGAGAGTCCGGCGCCCAGCCCGCTCCACCAAGAGCACCTGCAGGGAGAGTCAGGGCCTTCAGGACGGGAAGTGGATGGAGACAACCAAGGGGTGCGAAGCCAATGGTGGTGGCCACCCCAGAGGCCCACAGTTACCGAGATCAAGGTGAAGACTGTGTTGACCACTCCAGCTCCTATGGTGGCGTATGCTGGTTGCCCTACCCCCGCCGTCTCAAAAATGCTGGTTGAATAGTAGAAAACCTAGATGTGGGGGAGGAAAAACGGGATGGGAGGGATGTTCCTTCCTTCCCTGCAGCCCACCAGCCTGGACTGACCCCGAGTTTTAAGGAAGGGGGCTTGTTCCCTCTCCCCTCCTCTCCGGCTGCTCCCTGACCCTGCCCTTCCTGGAGGCTGCTGCATACATACGGCATTGATGCCGGAAAGCTGCTGGCTCAGCTGCAGCACGATTGCAATGATTAGGGGCTGCCGGTGGGTTCGGCTGCCCAGGAGCTGCAGCAGGGACAGGGGCTGCTCGCGCTCCAGCTTCCGCTTCTCCTCCTTCAGCTCAGCCAGTGCTCCAGACACATCGGCCCAGCCTGTCAGGCGCTTCAGACCTGGAGGCGAGGAGGGTCAGGACTGAGAGGACAGGGAGAGGCTCAGGGGCGGGAACAGGCACTAGCAAGTGGGGTGGGGGCTCACTCCTTTTGGCGGGCCCCTCCAGGTTCCGGATGATGTAGAGGTAGCGGGGGCTTTCTGGGCAGAAGGGCAGCAGGACCAGCTGCAGAAGGGCAGGCAGCACTGTGATGCCCAGGAGTAGTGGCCACAGTGTGGCCGTGCCCAGCATGGACTCCAAGCCCAGCACCTGTGGGAGAAGGATGACAGATCATTCAGCCTGTGCCCCAGAGCCCCTCCCCAGACCTCTCCCCACCCCCATGTGAGGGCAGGCCCAATCACCTGGGCAATCAGAATGCCAATGACGATAGCCAGTTGGTTGAGTGTCCCCAAGGCGCCCCGCAGGTGAGTGGGAGCGATCTCCCCCACATACATGGGCACCAACCCCGATGTGAGCCCTGGGCAGAGTGAAGAGGAGAGGGCTGAGGCAGCTGGCTGTCCACTCCTTCCCACCAAACCCGGGGATAGTAAAGGAGAGCAGGGCACTGGGCAGGGCCATGGTGCCCTTGGGTACCTGAGTAGGCACCAATGAGGAACCGTCCAAGGATGAGCATCTCATAGGAGGCAGCAGCGTTGGCCAGGCCCATGAGGGCGCCCCCCAGCACTGCCAGGGCGTTGTTGACCAGCATTGCCCTCTTCCTGGCAGGCAGAGAGTGGGCTGTGAGAGTTAGGGTGCCTGTACAACAGCCCCCTTCCTGTTCCCTACCCTTGTCCTTTAGCCCCGTACCTTCCCAGCCACTGAGAGATGACGCCAAGGAGAAAGGAGGAGACCATGCCGCCCACAGAAAAGATGGCCACGGAGAGAGCCCAGAGGGTGGTGAGGGTGCTTGGGGGGATGGAGCCAGGTCCCCCAGGCCCCTGCCTCCCCAGCCATGTCTCATTGTAGCTCTGTTCAATCACCTGGGGAGACAGCAGAGGAGTGAGTTCCTGCAGACCCTTCCCTCTCTGCTCATCCCTGCGGTCCCCTGCCTTCCTTGTTTGGGCACCCCGGCTCTGCCGGCCGCCGGAGCCTCACCTTCTGTGGGGCATTGATGACCCCAATGTTGTAGCCAAACTGCAAGGAGCCAAGCACAGCAGAGAACACGGCGAGGACCAGGGTCCCGGTGACGCGCTGCTGCGGAGGTTCTCCTTCCTGGGCAGGCAGAGTGGAGAGGAGGCATGTCACGGAAACATGGTTTCGTTCCTTCTTCAGGGGCCTGGGCCCGCGCCCAGCCAGAGCCTATGCTACTGGGTTCCATCCAGCACGCTGGGTGAGGGAAACTGGGCCATATTAGGACTTGCGGGAAGACCTCAGCATTAACAGGAGCAGGAAGAACCCCACAGGAACCAGGGCGTGCAGGAGACACTGGGTGTGTGCGTCCAGCCAGCAGAGCAATGTTTGAGGACCGAGGTCTCACCACTCCTGTGACCTTGGGACAGGTTTGGCCTTGAGAGACCTGAGCTCAGGTTGGTGTGACCTTGGACAAGTCACTTCCCCCCTGAACATAGCTTTCCTCTGGGGGAGG